AAAAAAAAAAAAAAAAAAAAAAAAAAAAAAAAAGACTAACAATTAACAGGTATCCCCATTAAAAACATCCACTTGAACCAGAGGAAAATACTCAACTTTGGGACAAGCAGAAAGAAAAAAGGTTCTACAGGAAGTTCAGGTACACTCTTCAGTGCATTAAAATTGAGGTGTTTGATCCAAATCAACTGAAAAACTGTCTTCCGACCAGTCATCCTGTTCCTACAGTGAAATATTGGTGTTTGATTTGCTCCAAAAAAATACTGTAACAGATATTTTTTTGTCTTGAAAATTCAATGAAGGGCTCTAGAGATTCATTAGATTAAAAAACAAGCATGGGCCTCCACCCCAAGCCTAGGGGGGGGAGTAAAGACCGACATGGCAGCTGCAGTCAGTAGTGGTGGCTCTACCAGTCATTGTTGCAGATCTGAAGGAGCTTGGTCACCACCTGCAGGATGTTGTAGTTGTGCTTCTTCAGCAGCCTGAGGTTCAGCTGCCAGTCACAAAAGCCCATTTCAAAGAGGTGAGCCATCAGGGCCCCAGTCTGGTGTTAAGAAACTACAGGCTGTGGAAAGACCAGAGCAGCATACAGCACTATCTGTGTAACCCAAGTTTCTATCTTGCCAGTTTCCCTTTTCTCCTGCGTCACTGAACAAGTTTTTATATGCTCATAGGCCACTTTTTGCTGACCTTTAACATAAATATTTGTCCATCCTACTACATCCCTCTTTTAAAATGTCTAGTGCTTCTTCCAAAGGAACACAGGTCTAGAAAAATAAAAATTTTAAGTAAAGTATATTATCGTAACATTTTTTTCCTCCTTTGCAATGCTGGGGATCAAATCAGAGGCTGTCATTTTACATTTTTTAGATGAATTTAAAGACTTTAATTTTTTTTCCTGAAAGTATTTAGAGCTGGTTCTGATAATCCCCTTTCTAACCTACTGTTAGATCAACCTCATAAATCTTTAAGAAAATATTTAGGGTTGCTCTAATGAATTTTTGTTTACTTGAAGTGGATTCCTTTTTCTTGAATGCTTGTTGAAAGTTAATTTCATTCTTAAAATTGTAGTGAATTTGAGTGTGATGATTGATATATTTAAACAGGTCAGAAGACATCTCTAACCCAAGAAACTGAGCTGTTGGAATCCTTACTTCAGGAAGTAGAGCATCAGGTGATGAAATGTTAAATGTAATAAAATAGTCTTTGTCCCTTTTTTGCCTATATCCCTTAAAATTTTTTTTTGTGGTTGGGGGCAGAAATTATATTATGTACATGAGATCAAAATATCTTTGTGCTAGAATGGAGAATTTTATGAAAGAGCAATCAGATGATTGTTTTGTCTTTATCATATTTTGGGAACTAAATGAAAATTTATGATGAGCTGGGCGTGGTGGTGTGCACCTGTAATCTCAGCACTCAGAAGGCTGAAGCAGACATATCCCTCTGAGTTTGAGCCAGCCTAAACTACATAGTGAGACCCTGTCTCAAAACACAAACAGAAAAAGATTTATGATGAATGAGAATACTATTATTTTTTACTGTGAATTACCCATAAAAATCTGTAGACTTATAAAAAGTTAAAATTTTCTTCTATTTTGACTTCAGTGGTGGCTTTGAGGTAGAACATCATTGCCAGTTACTTGCAGTGATTCTTATGTTAAAGTTTAGCCTTTCATTAAGCATCCAATAGCTAATAGGTGTTGTTTTAGATGTTTGGGAAACATCAGTGAACAAAATGGAAAAAATTCTGTCCTTATTATGTTTATTAGGGATTGGTGAATATGAATCATATAGTAAATAAAATATATAATGTCAAAAATATTTGATGTATTCACTTATCTTGAATTTGTCTTTTGGAAAAAAAATTTTTTTTTTGATGTTACTGGAAGTTGAAGGTGCTCTACTACTGAAGTATATCCCTGGTCCTTTATTATTTTTTTTAATTATTATTTTTTTGGTACCAGGGATCGAACTCAGGTCCTTGCACTTGCAAGACAGGTGGCAGAACCACTGAGCTAAATTCCCAGCCATAATATTTTTGAGACAGATTCTTGATAAATTTCCTGGCTGGCCTTGAACTTGTAATTCATCTGCCTCAGCCTTCCAACTAATTGGGATTACAGACGTGTGCCAGCATGCCCCGTTATGTCTTTTGGAATTCTTGAATTCACTGTAATTCTGTTTTTTTTGTTTTTCATTGAGGTTATTGGTACAATCTAGGTATACAATACAATTACATTCATCATTGAGATTCTGTACCTTTACATAATAGGTCTTGATTCTCATTTTTCCTCTTGTCCCTGCCCTACCTTCACGCCCTCCTTCCGTCCCCATTTACAAACACTTTATTTCCATTTTTTCAGTTTCTCATATTTTTTTCCTCTCCCTTATTACCTCTCCCCCACCCTTCCCACTTTCCTTCTTTAGCCCTTTACTTCCTATTTCACATTATTAATTGTCTCATTAGGATCCTGTGTACTATTACAGTTTTTCACACCAAAGAAACTATTCGGTATTTCAGTTAAAGAAATCTCTGTATGAACATTAAAAATAGGGAATCCTAAAATAAAACTAAAA